CGGTGATAAAATCACATAAAGCTAATTAGAGTCTAAAATTATAATGATAATTAAAGAGGCTATATAAAAATATATGTATAGATTTTTAATAGCATGAAAAGAGTGCACGAACTATAAGCTAAATGTTAAAATTCATCCATTCTCTCAATTCCTTTATCCAAGTTTTCGAGTAAAGAAATCGCTTATATATCTCTAATGGTTTGTTTCCGTTAGCGTAAGCTGCTCGATGTCAGCCTGGGGTTCGCCGCCGGCGTGATGGTGGCCGCAAGTTACTGGTCATTGCTAGCACCAGCGATCGAAATGGCAACCGAGAGCAAGACATATGGAGCTGAGGGCGAGTACGCGTTCGTACCGGTCGCATTTGGATTTCTCGTCGGCGCGGCATTCGTATACGGGACGGACGTGTTGATATCTACCCTCGTTTTAGCTATGCAATCAGTCGGTACGAAACAAAGACGCAAGATCATTGCGAAACTAAAGAGTGACGAGGACTTAGACAATGATTATGATCCGTTGTTTAACGACGTACAAATTTCCAGTGGAAAGATGTACACTCGCGTCGAATCGACCACGATCGATGGTATCTCATTTTCTTTTCGTAAAATCGCAGTTTTTTCTCTCTCTTTCTATAGGCTTGGAAAATGGGATCAGTTCGCGACATGTATACTATACATGTGTATACATATATCTCTGTATATGTATATAAACGTCCGTATACACTCGCCCCTCTTTGCTTTATCGCAGACATAACATGGTTTTTATTCAGGAATAAGCATCCTCTCAAATTTTTTGTGTGCTATTTTCATGAGAAGTAATGCATTTTGTAACTTGTCTCTTAAAATACAATAGTTGTGGAATTCCTTGCATGTAGCATGATGAAAGCTCTTTACGCAAAAAAAAAAAAAAATAGTTTAGAAAAATTGCTTAATTAAAATATCATAATGTAGACAAGTTAAGCTTATAATCTTTTGATCTGATATAATATTCTTCTTTTACAATAGAAATTCAAAGACAAAATATATATTATACGCATTAATTATATTACATTTATCATAATCATGTTATATATAACCATAATATATATTGTACGTTAATACTATTACATTTATCAAAACATGATTATGATCAATGTAATAGTATTAATGCGTATGATATAGCAAAATTATTGATACATTGAAAAAAAATCTTTATCTTATCGCTCTATTACCTTTATCAAAATGAGAAATCTTATCTCTCTCTATTACCTTCATCGAAATTAAAACTTGCTGATTAAATGATTAATTAAAGTTAAATATAAAATAGGATATATTTAAAAAGTCTATATATAATTCACATTTTTAAATTAATTTATCAGAGATCATTGCTTATTCCAAATAAATGTTTTGCTCATATAAATTGAGATATAGTACATATTTTTTCTCATGAGAAGTGATGTTTAATAGAAATATGAATAGTTGATTGATTTATGCATTTAATAAAAATATCCCAAGCTTTGTATTAGTATATGCATGATATTATTTGTAGAGAAATACATGGGACTTAAGCACACAGGTTCAATATAAACTTATAACTAAAAATATTCGATCCGCCTGTTAAATACATCGTCTAAACTGAAATTTTAAATCCCGGACAAGTGGTGTGATTAAAAGTGTGAATAACAAAAACAAAACCCAAATAATAAAAACAGAGAACCTAAACAATAAAGACAGAATTGAAAATACTAAATCTAAACTTAACATTAATACAAAAAGTGCACGTCCGCGTAAATTATTATCTTTCTCTCAATATATACCTAAATATGTAAATAAAATGAAATAAAATAAATTAATATTCTGGATCTGTGTGAAAAGTTCCATGGAGCTTAAAAAAACTGATCTTATTAATCCTGCCTAAATGAATCTAATCGCAATAAATTTTATTGAAAGTACGTCTGTCAGTGTCAAAAAATTTTTTTCTTTTTTAATCCTTCATCTTGTACGAATTGCATTTGCATGAAGTGACCCTGTGCCCATCGTTTAGATTTTCCAAGTTTGTGCTGGTGCAGAATGTATGATACATTTTGTTGTGAATGTTTAATTTTTCAGGCTTCTACGAACAGAATAGTAGACGTCGACAAATCACAAATATAAACAGATCATCGGAATCGGCAGAGATCGGAACAGTTTACGAGGATCCTAATAACGAAGCGAAAAACAATCAGTGGCGGAGGATACTACTACTCGTTGTTGCTATTACGGTATATTTCTACGAGATAGTGAATAATTATGCAAACTATCTTATATAGATTATATGTTACGTTAATTACCAACTAAAAATAATATATACATTTCGATTTTCATATTAGGTACATAATATTCCTGAGGGTCTTGCAGTCGGTGTAGGCTTCGGAGCAGTAGGCAGCAGCGCGTCAGCGACTTTTGAAAATGCAAGGTAAGTTATGTGCACTCTGAAAATTTATATGTAGATAGCATATCTACAGATAATATATGTATAGATAACCTGTAGCAGACGAACAATATAATATTACATGAAAAAATATTTACGCTGCGAACAGTTTAAAGTGAAATACATCATTCTTGTCTTTAAAATACTCATAAATTTTATTTAATATGAATAACGGCCTTATTTGCCAAATCTTTTATGAAATATATATTTGACAAATATCAGCATTTTCGTGTTAGAAAAAATAATACGGTACGATTTTTTTTTTTTTTTTTTTTTCAAGAATGATTGATATCATATGACAAATTTTGTTGTGTAAAAATGTTTTATTGTCATATATTGGATTAAGTAATTTCGCAATAAATAGAATATTTTGTTGATGACAAATATGGATCGCGATACCAAATTTTTCACTCATTTATTTGTGACTCAATATTGAAATTATGAAATTATTGCCATAAACAATTGTCATGCATAGTGAGTCAAATATGATAGTAAAAATATCTGCATAAGAATAAGAATAGTGATTAAAAATCTAATGGACAAATCTAATGACAAGAGAAAAAAAATTTTTAAACGAAAAAAATATACTTCCCTTAACTATATGATGACGCGACAATGCTAACAGCGTTTAATAATGGCTATCTAGTATTAATGGCTTAGATCAATCTTGTCTATTTAATTGATTGTGTCATGAAGGTTAAATGCGAAGTTAGCAAAGCGACGGATTTTAAATATTATCATAGACATTTTATGGTCATGTGCAGAACTGGAAAAAAGAATACATACTTGCTGAATAATGAAAAAATAATATTATTTCCATTCTAATCTACAAATAAAACAGATTTTCGAATTTTATAAAAATATCCGATAACATCCTATCACTTTTATTTTTATCAGCAATTGAACAGTCGTGATATTTGATATTTGTATCACGCTTAACAAATGCAACGCGTTATCAATAATTAATTTTGTATAATAAAATATGCAAATTATTAGAGTAATATCGTAAGATATTTATATTTTGTCAACCGAAGTACTTTTACTATAATAAAAAACGATTCTCTCAAATCTTTTAATTTCTTAAGAAAGAAATGAATTTTTATAAATGAGTAACTTGTATGCACATTAACGTAATAGTGAAATAAAAATTATTAGAGAAATTATTGAATATATTATGATAGATAACAAATCTTATATTTATGAAACACGATTTGAGTATATCGATTTTTTTTTAACTGTTATTCTATGTGAAAAAGTCTTCTATTTCTCTCTTTCTCTCTCTTTTAAATATCGAGATTTATATTATCCGATGTAGATATCCGCAAAATCGAATAAGAATATAAACGTTCTACGAAAGGAAGTTAAGATTAGCAGTAAGAGTAGACTACATCAGATCATTCTAGTTTGAATTGACATCATTCGGCTTACACCTCACGCCTAATTGATCGGTATTTTCAGGTGACTCTACATATCTTTCACGTGACTTTTTTGCTATCTTTCCTGTGTTGCCACTTCTTATTCGAATCCATTATTAAGTAAAGCAAGTAAGAACAGCATGATATTGCGTTCTCAAATAAAAGAGAATTTAATAAAAAAGAAAAAGAGAAAAGCAAATAAGTATGAGTCAAATGATATCGAATCGAAACGGTTCGATAAGTTCCTTCTTAATATCAATACGCCTCTTGCCTTGATTTGGCAATGTCTGCTATGGCTTATGTATATTCTTACATGTCGATGATTCGCGAGGTCACGAGCGATTGGCGAGCCGGCCGCGGCATGGTAGGAGGTCTCCATGAATGAGTTCTATGGTGGTCGACCGCGACCGCCAGTTGGAGGCGAAGTTTATTGGCTCCGGTCGGTGCCTGCGGCGCGCGAGCGCACAGGAGGGAAGGGCACGTGTAGCCCTGGAATCCGACGAGCCCTAGGCGCCGCGCATTCCATTCCAGCATCCCTCTCTCCTTCCTCCTGTCACCTACCTACCTACCTACCTGCCTACCTACCCACCTACCTACCTACCTACCTTCCTGCCTACCTATCTACCTTCCTGCCTACCTACCTTCCTGCCTACCTACTTACCTACCTACCTATCTACCTACCTACCTACCTTCCTACCTACCTACCTTCTTACCTATCACGCGCCTACATGTCCCGCTTCTTCTTTTGCGCTGCTGCCTCTCGCCTCGCTCTAACTCCTTTGCGATGTCTCCGAACTCACTTTCTTCGACTCGCGTTTACTTTTCGAAAATTTCGCCGTATATCCCTCTCGATGTCTCATCGCACGCAACTTGCCGCCAGCTCGTCATAACCGTCAGATTCTTCTCGAGAAAGACTATCGAAATTCACAAAATGCCCCATGAGATTTTTTCCAGAAATCAGAAAGACACATTACATTGTTATAATTGATAAGATATTTCGAATTGATATACTTCATCGTAGAATATACTAGATTTTCGATTAGTTCCATTATATTTTGATTATCACAATCCTGATTGATTTTTAATTGCAATTGAGATCCATTTTTGCGGATAATTACTACGCTAAAGATTAATCTGACCAAATATGTTTCGTGTATATTTCGTGCATTGAAACTTAGAAATGACATATGAAAGGAAAACCAAGAATGTGCTTGGCAATCGCTTTTTATATGCATAACAATTTTCTTATAACTAAAAACCAAATTTATAAACATTGATTTTGGGAGAAAATATAATTGGTTTTTCAGCGAAATAAATAAAAATATATACAAGTAATTAAAAATAGTAAAATAATACATATACGCAAACGGCATATATTTTTAGTAGTATTTTCATATATTATAATAGAATTTTTATAGAATTAGCACACACATACTCAATTTTTTCTGTCAATACGTGAATTCATATTTTTTTTAATGAAACTACAAATACACACGCAATATTAATCTAGCAAAAGATCATAATGGAATATTGAGTAAGCATTGCGAGAAAAAAGATCAAGTATGCACTTATCGGTGTATTGAATGAATACGTGCACGTGGCCGTGCACGTGAAATAAAAAACATTATTTTCCATTGATTTACTTGACTTTTGCATCATTGTTATTTAACGTATGAATCGACATGCAATTCGCATAGCACTTCCTATACACGGAAAAGAATGGGCGCTGTTTCTGACGACTTATTTACTATCGTTACGTGATTCGCGAGCGGATACGTGACATCGCGTTTATACATATATCGCTTCTTTACAACGGTCGATGTTGACTAAGCAACCTTTCTCCGTATCGCTAGTTGCGTTGAGAATTAAATGCTGGTTTGTACAAGCAAGTTGTTTCCTCTTCATATATAGGATGTTAGAAAAAAGATTTAAAACTTAAAAAATGATAATCAATTTTAAAAATGATGATCACGATAATTATTATCGATAATGACCTACTCGTTTAATTTTCTCTAAATTTTATTTTGCCAAGCTTAAAAATGTATTTGATCTTTTTCAACTTTTCTAAGAAGCGTGTTAAAGCATTGTTTCATATCTAATCATTCAATTAATCACAAGTATTATCTGAAATATAATATTATAAATTATCTTTTCTTTTCTCTTTCTCTCTCTCTCTCTCTCATTTTTTCCACAATAAAATCATGATACTAGGAAATGTTTTAAATTATTATATTGATCGAGAAATTTTTTTTGATAATTATATATTTTAATAATGATTGTTGTTCTTTTGCGACTTTTCTAACATGTGCCACCAATAATTATAATCCTTCGAAGTAAATTTGAATTCGGACACATGAAGCGAATCTCGAATCATTTGTTAATCGTTGCTATAATGTCGTTCGATTTTCAAACTCTTCCACTATACATTGCATGCATGATCTGTGCGTATATAGAACTAACTTAACATCAGATGCGCCGACACACGATGCAGAACGGCATTCCAGTGCATTCAAATGACGATGACCGCGAGAGCGACGTGGCCCTGGGCCCCGGAATCCCGCGGCGTCGGTGGTGAAGGGCACCATTAAGAATCTGTAGATGAATGGATCGCGTCTTTTGCGCGCTTTTCTTCTCTCGCTTTTCTTTCCTAACAACTAAAAAAATAACTCACACACACACATACGATATAAGATCATTGATCTTATTATCATATCATAGCATGCATGATATTCTGCTAAATAACGTTAAAACATTATTTAACAATCGTGATCAGAAATCGCGAGTGCTTAATTACGCATACGCGATTTAATGTAAAATTGAGTAACACGAACCACCGTTTCCGGCGATAATAAAGATAAGAGCGTTCTCGGCAACGGCTAAAAACGTCAATGAGAAACCGGGCAATTAATACTGTAACGAATGCAGGAATTTTCATCACGACTAAAGTCTAACCTGGGAATACTGGTGCCTTTTGCGTCGCTCTCGCGAGATAATTAGCACCGTCACCTTAAAAGCGATCAAATAAGCGGCGGTAATAAGTCGCGCGATAGCCGACATCCATTTCGGAAGTGAAACTTCCCACGGTGTTGTACGCTCCGTTATTGGTAAGTTCTAATAAGAGAGAAATTCTGACGACGGCATGCAACATCGTGCTTTGTAACGCTTTCGATGCTACTGAGCTAGAGAGCGAGTAGTAGTTGATCCTGTTTTCGAATGCGCTGTATATGTATGTGTGTGTATGTGTGTGTGAGAGAGAGAGAGAGAGAGAGAGAGAGAGAAAGAGAGACATACTCTTAATGCTCGTTTGGAAAAATCGTTCAGCCTTGGACGACCCTAGCCCATGCCCTTTTCTGTCTCGACCAGTTCATAACGAACGACATACCATTCTCACGACGATTGCGATTAACCCCCTTGGTCCTGCATATATTTTTAGCTGCATTATATGCCCGCGCAGTAGAATTCGCTTGTATGTATAGAATGTCCCTGGTTTGCTTCTAACTTGTGTATGAATAATTACGAAGAGTACTTGAAAAGATGTAATCTTGGAGCTACAAGTATTCTCGATTTGAT